TATATAAATAATGCTTTCGACAATTTAGTTATTTAGCAGTTTAATTCTCATCTAAGACTTGATTTCAATTTTATGTGCCATGTTAAGTTTATAGATTTTGTTCTATCAAGTTTGGGTACCCACTCAATTGAAGGCCATCAAGGTCCACTAAATATCATCCATGTCGGATACAACGAACCCAATTACATAGTGTAAGCATTTAGAAGATTGTTTTTAAGACTGAAAAAATTGTTCACAAAAATGTTAAAAGTTTTGTTCTCCCGCGCTAAGGTTCTTCACCAAATGCACGATTAACAATTGTGATAATATATGAAATATTTACTTAAGCCAGCACTCCGATTAAGCCAAAAACACACGTGAACTCAAAATCAGCTAAAAGCACTCATTTGGGAAAAAACTCCACAAGTGACCTTACACAATGCAAACCAATAAACTTAAGCAAAAATGAAAGGATTAAACTGATAAATAAAAGGAAAACAGATAACATCATTATTTAAAAGTCATTCAATCAATGACTGCCACATGTCAACAGTAACAAAAAGGACACATATATCCCAAAAACCTGAATTCAAATCTATAAATAAGTGCATCTGAAGATGAAGATTGCTATGTTGAATTTGAAATAGCTTCCTCCCAACTTAATCATTTTTTTTCTTACTTCCTATTGAGCAGTAGAATAGCAGTTTAGGAGGGGAAAACCTTGGCTAGGTAAAGAAAATTTGTTGATCATCTTTTGGAGGTCAACATATTAGCTCCGTTTGTAGAAAACTAGGACAAAGATAACCATAATCTTATTATTTTTGAGCTTAAAAATGTCATAATCTATGTAGAAATGAGTCATATAGAATTAGATCTTACTAAAATAGAAATGTTAGAATTTGACGAGGAATTTCTTGGCAATGATCATGGCAGTCAGAACAATGAGAAATCCATAGGAGATAAGAGAAAACTCGAAGGGAAGAAAATATCAAAATCATGGAGAGACTAAACATGTCGACAATAATGCAGCCTTAGAAGGCCACAAAAATCAAGGTAATCCAAAATTTATAAATCTTCAACTAATTTTGTTGATATAAAAATGAAATCACAAAATCTAAAGATGAGGCAGTAATTACATAGACGAAGATAGCCGGAATTTTTTTTATCATACGGTCCTGGACAATGAAGACCCAATAAATGTTCTATATGAAAGTGCTTTCAATCGAATGCAGACGTGTTATCCATTAATAGCTATGTCGGAGCCTTACAATTATATTAAAGGAAGTCAAATCCATTACGGACGACCATTCTATTAGTGAAATTATGTAAGGAGCTCTGAGCATACCAATGATATATGAATTTCTATATTTTGGATGAAAATTCCACTTTTAAAGGAATCCTTGGACGGCCTGTTATGAGCAATGTTCTAAAATGCGTTCCGATACGTCGAAGCCGAAAATCAAGGATCACAAGTTTAGGCATGTCAATGCGAAGAATAAGTGTTATAATACGTTTCGTATTTTTAAGGCATTAAATATATTTTTATATAAAAAAATAGATTTTTTAGAAAAAATAAAAACAAAAAATTAGGCGGAATAATGCGTCACCTAGGCGGGATTAGGCGCCCCTAGGCGTGCCTATGCGCCTCCTTTTAGAACAAAAACGCATTTTTTCCCGCATACTCCGAATTCGACGCATTTTCTCCACACGTCGTGCCTAGGCGCGCATTTTAGAACATGGGTTATGAGACAAGCAAAAATAACAATAACTCTTCACTACTTACGTGTTAAATTCTCCACTAATATAGGTGAATCTTCTATAAGATATGATTAGAGAGTCATGCGAGGAAGTTACTTTAGTGATTTAAGAGAGACACGTCACGAGCTCCTTGAGAGGTAACCTTTGAAAAACTAGAAGTCGATGGCTTAGTCAATCCTCCTATAACTAAGTATATTTCAAAATTGCAACGGTTGAAGAATTGGAAAGTTTTTCGTCAGCTAAGAGGACGCAACTAAAACTCAGAAAATAGGTAAAAAAGTTGGTTGAGCCTTTAACATACTATGAAAGTATTGAATGAAACTGTTTTTGGAGTCATATCACGAAAACCCTTAGGACTTTTGATAAATTAGTGAGGCAATGAGATGAACCCTAGTAAAATCCAAGCTCTTATTGAAATGCGATTTCCAACAAAGCCTAAAGAGGTACAAAGTCTAAGAGGAAGGGTTGAAGCTTAGCGGATTTGTTTCACAAACTACATATAAATGCTATCCATTCTTCCAACATTAAAAGGAGGAAAGAAATTTTAATGACTAAAAAATGCAAACTGGCATTTCAAGCCTTGAAGGGACACCTAGGAAAAGCTCTGCTACATGAGAAAAATTTATTTCTATACATGACAGTTTCTAAAGTAGTAGTAAGAAGGGCAACAACAATTGTCGAAATAAGTTATTTTATTAAAATAAAAAATAAAAAAATGAATATAATTATATAAACTCCCACTCCCAAATCAAAACCTCTTTTCTTCTTTTTCTTCTTCTTCTTCTTCTTCTTTCTCTTCTTCTTCTCCTCTGGCGAGACACTACCACCCAGCCACCATCGTAACCTTTGAGCACTGTCACCACAACTCTCTCTCCCCACCACTCCCACTACCAGTGTTGGCATCCTCCACAGAAAAAACTAAGAAATGCCCATAGAACACAGAACGTGGAATGCCATCGCCTCCACCACCGCCACTGTAATAAAATTTTTCGGACACAAAAATCAGAACAGAACGCCACTAGATTACAAAAATTGTCGAAATCAACAAACCCTACAAAATAAATCAATTCATTTGCCTTCGATTGCACAACTCCAATAATGGTATAAAAGAAATTTCAGAGAATATCGAACCAAACACCACCACTTAATTTCATAGAAATCTCATCCATTGCCTATGCTCGTTCCTCGTTCAATTTCAAAGAAAAACCCGAACCACAGCATCGCCCATTTCCCATTTTCACTGCACAACAAGAAGCTTCTGAATTAACTCCCAAATTCATCGACATGGTTTATTGTCCGAAAAATATGCAAATGGGACTTGAGTAATTCATTGCGAAGTCCAGTTGCAGCTGTAATTTTTGAATTCGGTAGCAAAGATACATGATTTTGGAGAATGGGATGGGGGCAAGGAGGGGTCGGGTGGAGAGGATGAAGGATTTGGGGGTGGGGTTTATATATTTATATTTATTTTTTGGTCTTTAATTTAATTAAATAAATTATTTAATATGAGAAAAACGTAAAGTACCATTTTATCATTTTTAATTTTGACATTGGTCAAAATTAAAAATTTCCATTTTTTGGCAACTAACGAAAAAGTGGATAGTTTCCATCCAAATGGACTCCAGCTGCATATTTATGATTGATTAAGGACCTTCGCTAGCACAAAATGAAGGCTAGGACAAAGTATGTAAAAATTGAAAAGATTAGGGACTTTTCCCCACAATTAAAATATGTTTTCAATAAAAACATCACAACAAATTTACAATATAGTTATAATCTAATTAAAAATGAGAAAAGAATTATGTGGTGTACTCCCATCCCAATAGTACTCTTCATTTTCTATCGTCCCCCCACCCCCAATTCTTCTTGACCAACTTACCTGCCCATTGGCTCAATAATCAATGTAGGCAAGCCAATAACTATGCGTTCAGATCATTTCAAGCAATGAAAGCGGCGGATCTTGGACTTGTGTATGATGTTTCATACACAGACTATCTTCTTTTTCTCTAAAGCATTGGAGTTAAGAACTATTTCGTACGGGTAGTCGCTAACAATTATAAAAGATTCAGACAATTGTGTAAGGGACAAACCTCTTGAGATAAAGTCCCAAAAAATGGGTGCTTTATTGATGAGAGTTACAATTGGAAATAAACAGAATGCCTCTAAGGTGCGCAAGCACACGAGTACTGAAAATGGATAATTAAATTTAATCTAAAAAATTAAAATTACATATTCTCTATTTGAGAGTGTTTGATTCGGGTTCTTCTCTCGATGTCTTCTCTTCCTTTTTATATTCCCATGATGATTTTTTCATGGCAAACCGCTTGAAAACTGCTTGATTGCTTTATAACTACCCACTTTTTTCTGGTGGCTAACTTGTCGTGGAACTGCCATCTCTAACTGCTGCCATTACTCTTTGTCGTTCAACCGCCTTCAATTGAGCTCCTTGAATCGTGGAATGTAATAAGTCTTCTCGATAACTGATTCAATAACTGCTATTCTGGATAGCCATAATATCTCATGTTAGTTAAGATTCTGGGCGATTCGAAGGTTTGGGCAAGAATGGGGTAATCCCTCTGGGCGACCGTAAGGCACTTCATTCGCTTAAATTCTAGACGGCTTGCAAGCTTGGGTGATGATGTTACTGTGTTCGTGAGCTTCCTCTACATTCATCAATAATCTTATTTGGTCTTTTATCCCAGACTCCCCAATTGGGCCTCACTCTTTTGGCTATTTAATTTGGGCTGTACTTTTAGTGTAACAACAATTACATTACCCCCCAATATGGCAAATTTAATACCAAGTATTAATCTTTGCCATATTCATCTTGTATTTTCCAGGCAACATTTGAAATTCTCGAAAATTTCAATCATTATTTCTTTCTATAGCCTAAAAAGATGCAACGTTACAAACCCTTACAAACCCAAAAGACAGGCCATTTATCGCACCACTAAACCTATATTTCGCGCTTCTTCCTCACAATTTTACTGTTCATCTTCTTACTTCTCTACTACATCTTTTAGGCAAGCCTTAACAAGATTGT